TGAAGAGAGTGGTAGAGAGCCATTCTGTCAACTGAAAATGTGGTTGAGATGTTACTTAAAATCTTTTCTTTCTAGTCTTGAAATTAGGTAGTTTAAAAATTGTTACTTTTCATTTTCTTTATTACTCTCTATGCAGTTTATCTCTTACGGGTCGGGGGAGGCAATTCATTCATTCATGTAACTGACATTTTCTGGTCCCTGTTATGTACCAGGCACAGAGCTGTGTGCTGAGGATACAGAAATATTCATACACTATTATTACCTTTTTAAGCATATATTATTATCAAGGTGACTAGGACTGGTTAGTAGTTTGAAACTTTACCTAAAAAAAAAATTGTGTCATAAGAAACAATAGGATTTATTAATGTTTTTCCTTCCTATAGCTGCTAATAATGACTCACACATTGTAGGCACCTGATAAAATTTTATTGACTATAAATTAGTAAAGATATGATACATACATAAGTGTGTGTGTCTGTGTATAATTTTGTGTTTGTGTGGTGGGATGTGTGCTGTTACCTTTAGCCACATAGTGCATGATTCTGTTAAATTCAGGAGCATTACTTTCAGAAAGTTGAATTGTTTCTAATTGTAGTTCAAATGGAAATATTTGAGATAGCACTGCTATTTCTAGAATGTACATGTTCACAAGTTAAGGTGCTGAATGTAAACGTGATCGGAAAGAAGACTAAAATGAATTGGTTTGCTAGTGTTCATAAATTTTCTTTGCATAAATAATACAACATTTATAGAATACTTGAGGCTAAATTCTGATTCTTCAGCTTCAAACATAACACATAAGTGCTACTCAGTTTTTATGGAAACTACAAGTGTTAATGATTAAACCATATTTGATTTTCAGATTGCTAAGCTGTAGGGCATCAGGAATCAATGTTTACATAAATCTGACTAAAAGTTCAAGGCCCAGGAGGCACAAGGTAGAGGAGTTTTGTGTTGTTCTGAATTACCTCAGGAATAGTGTTCTCTGGGAAATCCCGGTGAGCTATAAGTAAGGGCTATTTTTTCTAAAGACTGACATTTTGCAGTATGGCATATAGTATGTGTTGTGTTACAAATTACAGGGTCATTGTTTTGAAAATCGGACCTCTTTCAACATCTGGTTTTTAGGCCGCTTAAGTGTGGGCCAGAAAAAAGGCTGGTCATTGTAGGGTGTTTGAAATGAGCTGTAATGATTTTCAGGCCCAGAGAAACCTTTGTGCAGCAGCTGCTATCAGAGAAGGCGATGGAAGGACGGGGCTTCATTCGTTCTGTGCATCAGGCCGAATCTTTTATCACCTCTCTAGTATGGTTATCATCATATGGCTGTCTTCAGAATCTTAAAGGCCTCACAGCTAACAGAATTGGTGTTAGGGTGAGAGGGAAAAGAGGGTTACAAATGACAAATTGAGATAATAAAATAACCTTAGTTATTTTTATGTAAATCCAATTTGTAAATCCATTACAAAGAGGGCCTCCTTTTCTTTTTTTTAAAAGGATACTATTCACGGTAATATTCATTTGTCATGGTAATTCTACTTCAGAAACGTTATTACAGAGTCAGTCACCTTTACAAAAAGGTCTGCTTCTAAAAAAAATTTAGCCTTCAGTTGACTGAAGATGGTTGCATGTTAGCTAGCTGCCACTTATTGAGGGCCTGCTACTGTGCTAAGCACCTTATAAATGTTACTGCCAATTCTCTGACAATCTTGAAAATGATTGTTGCCAGTTTTACAGATGAGAAAGCTGAGGTTCAGAAAGGGTAAATAATTTACCCCAGGTCACACATTTAGTCACTAGCAGAATCAGGATGTGTTACCTGGCCTACTCTGCACTGCCTGTCCCAACACATTGCATTTCAGCTGACATGCTTCCAATGTCCAAATGCAAAAGCACATATTTATGGTTATTTATATTTATATATAATATATATAAATATATATATTTATGGTTAGAAAAATGTGTATACACACAGGTATACAGGTATACATACACATATGTATATATACATAAGTATACTTTAGGTAAAATTTGTAGAATGTATAATGTATTTCAGGCAATAACTTGATCCACAGTAGGAGTTGTTAGGTGTAGCGCTACTGAATCATTACTTTTGGTAGGAGACCATAATTAAGCTTTTTCTTTTATATGGCTTATACTTTCCCCTAATTCTGTGTCCTGTTACTTTTACTCATATGCCTTAAGAGCTTGATGCGTCATGCACATTACTGACTTAATTTATATTAGACATTTCTGGAAACCAAAGCTCTTTAGTACATAGTGCTCTAAAAGATATTTTTATTCTAAGGGAGTTACTGATAATAGGTTGCAGACAGTGTTGACTTCTGTGCTGAACCAAAAAGAAAACTTGAAGGACTGAGAGAATGATGGAGAGAAGAATTATAAGGGGCACAAAACGAGGACAAGGCTAGGGAGGTTAAAAAAACTACTAGCTCTCGTCTAGTCATCAGTCCCAGTGTCACCAGTTCATTCTATCCACAATCAGGAAATGGAGGTGTAGCCTAGGTGTGCACACTTGCTGCTACCAGCCATGTGAATCCCCCCATTACCAGCCACACACACACACACCTATAATATTAGTTGGGATGTCAGACTGTATGTATGTCCACAGGTAGTGTTCTGCCTGCGTTTTGTGTGGATAGTGTAGAAGTTGCTTTGATATCCGTCTCTTCATGTTTATACCTCTTCCTTGAATGTGCAATGTACTCTTTATGTGATTGCAAAACTTAAGCACCTTCATCTACTTTCCACTATATAGCCATTGTGAACTAAATATTTTTATTTATAAAATCTTGGGCACACAAAGATTCTAAAAGAATTTTGGTTGGAAAGCTGAGATATACAAACATGCTTTTAATTTTAAAAGGAACAAAAGAAAATGAAGCTAGTTAAAAATTTAAATCTGTTACAGCTCCCAATTCTTAAAGGAAAAATTGTTATATAAAATTTCTACTCAGTAACAACTGTGAAAGCACAAAACAAAATTGGACGTTTAACGTGTAATCATTATGTTTTATATTAGATGCAGTACTAATTTGGGAATGCCATTGTTTTTGCACCTATTCTGTTTAAGATGCTAACAACAAATGGGGGCTTCTGGTTTGGACTCAGATCGCATCTCTTGTAGTTTGAAGTCATTAGAATTAACAGTCCAGTTGTCATGAGAAGGTTTTATTCTGATTTCAGTGACGAAGAACGATACAGATACAGGGAGTATGCAGAAAGGGGCTACGAGCGCCACAGAGCGAGTCGGGAGAAAGAAGAACGACACAGAGAACGACGCCACAGAGAGAAAGAGGAAACCAGACACAAGTCATCTCGAAGGTTTGTGCTTTTACAGGGAATCCCTTTAAAGCAGAGAGAAACACATTTCCAAATAATTAGTGTAGATCTGTGTTCCTAATTGGAAGATTAAGAATAATGTGTTGAAACAGTTCAAACGTTCCTTATAGGCTCAACAAAGATTTTTTAAATCTAAAAAGACTGCATTTAGTACTCAGACTTACTACATTATCTTGTTGGGAGGGGTTTATTTAGCATATGAACCAGTAATATTTAATCAAAAGAAAATGCAGGGCCGCATAGTCAGATAAATTGTATGCGTGTTGTTTGCCTAAAATCAACCCTAGAAAGTACTTTCTGTTCTGATTTAGTGCTTCAGTTTCTAATTTATAGTAGTTTTTCAGAATAACGTCTGTGGGCTCTGAGAAGCTTAGGATAATATCAGTGAAGGTGAGCCTGTAATATAAATATCACCTCCTTAATGAAAGTCACATAAAAAACTGGTTACTCCTCCAAGTGTGTTTGAGAAAAAGAATGGATTACTTCAAACCCAATGTTATCTTGACAATTCACCTAGACACAGTGGGTTGATTTGTCACTATGTATATACTTAAACATTAAGAATAAACCTTTCTTTTCTTCAGTAATAGTAGACGTCGCCATGAAAGTGAAGAAGGAGACAGTCACAGGAGACACAAGCACAAAAAATCTAAGAGAAGCAAAGAAGGAAAAGAAGCTGGCAATGAGCCTGCCCCTGAACAGGAGAGCACCGAAGCTGCACCTGCGGAGTAGGCGTGGCTGTGGCCTTTGTGTATATTAGGGCCAGAAGTGTACCATAAATCTTGTTATTTTTCTGGATAATGTTTAAGAAATTTACCTTTAATCTTGTTCTGTTAGTATGAAAAGTTAACTTTTTTCTCAAAATAAAAGAGTGAATTTTTCATGTTAAGTTAAAAATCTTTGTCTTGTAATATTTAAAAAAATAAAGACAGCAGTGACTTTATATCCAAGTAATGTGAATGAGTCGCTCAGCAGGGAATTTTAAAGAGCTATGTACATACACAGTGTCTCATAAAGGTCAAGGTTCCAGCTTGGCCATAGTTTTCTTGAGTTAATCAAATACCACTCTCAAGAGGTTGCACTGCAAAAGGCATCTCTGAGTCTTGACATTAAAAGTAGTCTTGTCAATGCTGCTGTGGCACTCTTGCTTAGCATATTAAAGAACTCGTATGTAGTTTTGATACCACAACTTTTTGATAGGTTTTCAGCATTCTCAATTTGGATTCATGGTATAACTAAATAGGCAACTTTTGTATCCTAAAAATTAGTGAAGGCGTTTGGCTGGAGTCTGTGAAATAACTTGCCCTGAGGGTAGTTTCTATGGCAGGCACACGGACAAACCCTTGTCACTCTGACACAGATTTGAATTGCTTCATGGCTTTCTATGAGCCGGGGTCAAGCTGGTTTGGCCTTCCTTGATGCTTTTTCCAAAGCTCATTGGTTGAGCAGCATGTGTTTTGATACAGTTACTAGCTAATTGTGACTGAAAAGACAAGAGCTTTAGTCATTTCCTACTAAATCTGTGAATACAAGTTTATAATTCTGTGAGCATTTTTAGGGATAAGCCTTAGGATATATTTGTTGGTGATGGTAACAACGTGGTTTTGAAAGAATTACTAGGATCCTTTAAATAGTGGTAATAGAAATGAATTTAATGTCACATACTAAAAGACAACTATAATTTGAAAAATATTTCTCATTTGATGAACATTTTCCAGCAGGGCACTTTTAAGATCCTCTGGCTGTAAATTGTTTTTTTTTAAATGCCCATAATATACCCTTTACAGACCTCAGCATATACCAAATTTTTAATTGTAGGATTTGAAGTCAGTGGGGGTATACAAATGATCTCAGCCGTTTAAGAGCTTTTTAGTGAATAGAAAAATATAAACTTAAAGTTGTAATGAGAAATCCTCCGCCCTGAATAAAAACTAATAGGATTTATGTTTCGAGAATTACATTTTCTGAGGCATAACTGGCTTTCATTAGATCATACTTTTCCTGACAGTTTACATTTTTACAGTGTATCCTTTAAATAAAATAAAATTGACAAGATAAATACATTGTTTCAACATAGCTTATCTGTAGTTTTCTGTTTTCCTATGACCCATCATTGATTCTATAAAAAAGTGCCAGGCCAAGAAACAATAGTGAGAGTAATCTTTCCTTTAAGTTCTTTCAGCATCCTTGCCAAGCAAGCATGTATCATTCCTGCTGTACTTCTACCATTGACAGCCAGAAGAATATCACCACATCTAAAAAACATAAAACAACACATGATTAGCATTTTGATCCAGAGCTGGAGTCAATGCAAGTGTATTTGGTGGTCCTAGTTTTTGCTCCATCTGTCAATTTTAGTTACATAAAATTCTAATTAAGAATACCTAATTAAGGCTCCCCCCCCCCGCACCTCGCTTAAATTCTGCAAACTCTCCAGTCAGCTTCTGTTAGAAGGGACGCTAAAAGCATAGGAAGTTGCTGTAAGGGACCAAGGAATTCTTAGAAATTCAATGCTATGTAGATGTTTTTCTTACAATAAAACAAGGTATATAGTACATGCGTTATTTCTAATGGGGCCAATCTTTTGCATTTAGAAAACAAAATATTGGTAATAAGTAGTCATTATTACCTAATTCTTCCATCATTGTACGCTGGTGTTCCTTCAACAATGGACTTAATAAAAAAAGGTTTGTTCCCATTATATTCTTCGTAACCTCCTACAATGCAGAAGCCCAGACTTCCGGCTGTGTTTCTTCGTAATATAACATCTTTACAGTTATACAGGTATCTGAAATAGAATGTGTAAGCAGTATATCTGCACAGTTAGGTTCAACTCTTAGTGAATAATTATTATGATTCATCTCCCATTCCCTTTATTGACGTTTTTTTCAGGCTAAATAGCATTGGATGGGTTTCACTCAGAATTGTCAAAGCCCAGTGACATTCGTGCTGTTAGTGGGCTTTTTCTAGCTGAATTGTTTTCCATTGCTATACACCCTTTAAAAAATACTATTATGTTGTGTTTATATTAAACAAATTGGATAGACCTAAATCCTTACTGATGAAGAACCAAATGCAAGCAATATCATTTTTATTTGGTTGTGAATATAATTTTAATGAAGGCAAAAACCCTTTAAATGATTCTCTGTGAAAAAAAAACTTAAAAAACCTAACCCTAATAATGAATGCAGTTGCCAAAGTTTTGACTTTTGAAAAATACCGTTTTAAATGTAGTTCTACATGTTCGGTAGGTTATAGAGAAGCATGCAGGCATAAAGTGAATGGAAATTGAGGTACATTTAAAGGTTGTAAGAATGATTCATAATCGAAAACAGTAAACTGAATAGGAAGTTATAGAATGGGAGAAGGAGAGGTCACATGTCTTCTGTGAGTAGAATCCTCACCTAAAATAGATAAGATGGAAGAAACTCTCAATATTCAGTGGCAGCTGGATCAGTTAACATAGGTGCAGGCCAAGTGTAAACTGTGTTAAGAGTTGTGACAGGTAGTGTCAGGAACTGGATTTGACTAAAATCCCCCGGTTGAACTGGTTTGAAAGAAAATTAGCATTTTCATATCGGTAAAAATCAAAATATAATTGTTTTGTTTATAAGCTGTACCTGAAAATATTAAGTGCTTTTTGAGAAACCAATAAAATGTCTCTTGTAAAAGGTTTTATTAAGTGATGAAGTTGGTCATTAACATTTGTTACCAAACTTGCTAATCAGTGTAATGTTTCATAGGGTTGCTGATTCCAACTTGAAATAAGCTTTGGCTTTGTTTGGGGGATAACTTTAGAATGTAGGGATAAAATTCAGTTCAGCTTTGTTTTATATCTGTTGTCACACATAATTTACAATAATCAATTTCACTGATAGCTGAAGAATGATTTTCATTAAATAAAACAACTATATTTTGACTAAAATATTCATCAGCTGTATTTCACAGACTTCATGTCAATAGTAAGTTCCTCCTGAAGGAGCTGTGGTATGTCAGCACATTTACATAATGGCTCACCCACTGCTCGTATACAATGCAGGTAATTGGCAGTTCTCCAAATACCAGAGCATTACATTCCTTCCTGTGCCCAATACTTGAGGGAAAGCACATGAAGAATTGGGTGATTCTTACGCGAGATCATGAGCAAATAGCTACCTTAACACTTCCCAGCCATGATTCCCTAAAACATATAAACTGGTATATAGAACAATATTTGAAACAAGTACTTCTTACTCCTTGGACCACTGGATCAATGTGTCTTTTCTTCTGAGGACAGGAACAACGAGACTTTGAACAGGTCTGACATTGGATTGCTTCTACTCGATAAGGGTTAAGTATCACCTTGGACCTTATACTGAGTCTTAGTATTTTATTTCATGTGGACAAGCTATAAACCTCAGCATCTAAAATTTATGTTCTAGTATAAAATTTTCAACCTAACATTAAGTCACGAATTGTGTCTATTTTCCTCGACTCTTGTTTTGATATTGGAGAGAAAGTATCTATCTGCTTGGATCATCTTTCAGCAGACGTTTATTGAGTGCACCCTACTCAGAACAGACAAAAATCCTGCCCTCCGTGCCATGCATTCAAGTGGCTGGCAGTGTTACTAGTATTTTTTTTTTCACTCAGTACTTTCCTTCCTTTGTGTGAAGTATTTCAACTTCATTGCAGCAGCAAGAATGCAGTATGTTAAACCCTTTCAAAGTCAGACCTTGGTTAGTTGGAAATGGATTAGTACTGGGCATTCGTTACTCAAGTTGAATTACTCCACTCCCCATTGGGAAATGTGGAACCTGGCTTTGATCGATGATGTTCAGGATTTACCGTTGAAATATTAAGTGACTTTAAATTCTAAATGTGAGCTTTTTTCCTATTCTGAACTCATTCTCTAAATTTAGGCCTCATTGAAGAAGAGTTGGCATAGTTTAAAGAATAGCAAGGAGTTTAGTAATTTTCTCCCAATGAGGAAATTATGGTTACTTCACAAATCAACTCCACGTTAGGGACTACAGTGAAGTCTTGGGTTGCTCAAGAAGCTGTATATTTTTCTGTTTCACTGGCTGTTCCTTCTCCGTCTCCTTTAAGGGTTCCTCTTTTCTCAGAGGACCTCAAAATTTCACTGAGCCTCTCTACTACTAAAATGTGGTTCTCAAAGTGTGTGCCTTTCAGGGAGTCTAGAGGTCAAAAAATACTTTTATCAGAAGAGTGAGATAATATTTGCCTTTGAAAAAAAATCTCATTTTCTAATAAGCATTTAAGCTCAGAAGACACATGATAGGTGATCTGGCAACAGACCAAAGGCAGAAGTAGGTATGAGAGTCCAGTTATCTTTTGTTCAAGCCAAAGAGGTTTGTAAAAAAATGTTGCCACTCTTCTCATCAATTCACTCCAAAATCTTTTCTGGGTTCCCGAAGCACCCTCTGCCTGCATAATAATAATACATATTAATTCATCCCTCCTCTGTCGTACTAGTCCAGACGAGAGCATGTTTTGAAAGACTTCCAGATGTGGATTCTGGGCCTGAAAGCCAACAGGAAATACAGCAGAAGGTCTTCCGTGATTTCTGCATCCCCCCTCAGCCGAATGGTGTCTGCTCATTGGGCTAGTTTAGAGACCGCATCGGGAGCTGCTGCCCAGGGGTTACTCCTGGCTACAGGAGGAACCACTGAGAAGGGTGAGGTATGCTTGCACTGTCCTGTATAACCCACTTTTACTCTCTCTGCTACTGCTTCTACCTGACACCCACTGGTTCAGAACAGGCCAGGGCTCGCTCAGTATACGAACACCATCTTCGTGATTACTCACTGTGTTGGGCTGTACCTGAGGGCGTGGTTATGACGGCCTAGGAAAGGGTGTCCTGTTTCTAGACCTGCTGACACATCATTTTTCTTCACTAGTGGAGAATCTTAGGTAACTGACTGGATCATACTTCAGGGCAAATAGGTTTCCTCAAAATCTGTTGTAAGGGGAAAATGTTTTGGAGAAAATGTATAACTTGGAGGGAAATGCCCTTGTGAATTAAAAAAATATGTACATCTATTTTCAGCCTCAGTCTATAGCAGTTCAAACAACTTGCTGAGGTATGACAAATGGCCTGAAATTCTTAGGACATCAGTCATGCCAAATGACTTGAGACATTTAAGCCAATGGTATTGCATCAATCGGGGAGAAACTGGGGTCTTTGAAGCTCTCTGCAGTCAAGAGTAGAGATGTGAGGAGACATACCCATCCATAAAAATTGTAGCAGTGTGATGACTTGGGGGCTTGCATCCTGAAACTAGCTGAGAGCCTGGTAAAGGAACGTAACAGTATTAAGGACGTCTGAAAAATGCCAGGATGGACAGACTTCTAGTTTAAAAATGTCAGAGTGAAGATTATGTTTCCCCTTATGCTTTTAAACATTACAATAAGGGCAACTAGGAGACTTGGAAACAGAAATGCAAACTCCAGCTGAGACAAAACTGGGTCACTGCAGACGAGGGGGGAGAACCGACTTCTGAAGGCAGTGAAAGGGGGAAGCCGGAAGTGAGGATGCCCACAGCTGGGGTCCGCAGGGAGTGGCCTACTCCGACGGGCAAAACACCCACTCCACAGTGGAACCCCAGAAACAGGCAGGCTGGCCGTGGGCAGAGCTTCCCCGGGCCCAATCTGACAGAGAAGACGGGCACGCGCGAGGCTACGAGAAAACAAACAGATAACCCGAATGTACGTCCAGCTAGTAGCCTGGGTGGACGGGAGAGACGCGGACTGCTGATCTGGGTCGAGAGAAGTGAAGCAACACAACCCCGTGTCATAAAGAGACGCTTCTACCACTTGGAAGGTGGCCCCGGTTCCTTCCCCTGATGAACCTCCAGCCAATAGCTGCTCCAGGAAAAATTCACCTAACTCAAAGATTACAAAAGACCTAGCAGGCAGACACACAAGACAACAGAAAAGAGGGAAAGTAACAGTAAAAACAGTAACACAAAAACCACTCACCAGAAAAATGCTGCCACAGAAACAAAATGCTACCATAGAAAATGAAATGTATAACCAACCACATCACTTTGAATTTAAAATAATCCCGAAACAATTCCTCTATAAACAAGAGATCCACGCAGAGATGTAAGATTTCCAGGAAGACATGAGACGAGAGAAGAAATGAGCTGACAGAGGAAAGACACGGAAGGGAGGAATAAAACCACTACCAAGGGCGCCTGGGTGGCTCAGTTGGTTAAGCGACTGCCTTCGGCTCAGGTCATGATCCTGGAGTCCCGGGATCGAGTCCCGCATCGGGCTCCCTGCTCAGCAGGGTGTCTGCTTCTCCCTTGGACCCTCCCCCATCTCATGCTCTCTCTCTCTATCTCATTCCCCCCCCAAAAAAAAAAAAAAAAAATTTAAAAAAAAAAAAAAAAAAAACCACTACCAAAATGGAAGTAGAAGCTGGAAAGGATAAGCTAAAGTAATACGAAGGGCAGATCACAATAAGCAAAGAGTGATTCAACAGAAAACGCAAGACGTGAAACATAAAAGATACATACATATCTGGACTCCCTAGAAGAACCCAAAATATCTGTTATTTTGAAAATCAGGTGAAAAGGATAAGCCATGCATACAGAGGAAGAGAGGAGAAGGGCCTCCCACTTGTCCACACCGCCGCTCACTGCTCGCTAACAGTGATGCGATGACTGAGACAGCCTAGTCCAAAGGAGTGTGATCCAGTACTTTTCTATCCAAGCAGCCTGCCCCATGGCTGGGCAGACGCTCTGTGGTTTCTGTAACCAGCTCTGTGGTGAGTGGACACCACACTAGTACAATGGCTACCCCTGTACGTCCCTCACGAATTCTTACTGCAGCATTGTTTGTGAAAGCAGAGGTGGAAAACAGCCCAAGTGTTCGCTGCTCATAGGAACTCGTTCAGTAATTACGGCTGATCTGTACAACAGAATGCTATCAGCCATAGAAGAGAACAACACAGCTGGATATGTACTCATGTGAAATGACACCCAAGGATATTCTTAAGATTTAAAAAAAAAAAAAATCATGGTACACAATAGCGGGTATGCTACCACTGTGTGTGCTTGTGTACATAGATGCCCAGACCAGGGGCCAGCAAACTACGGCCCAGTCCACCGCCTGTCTTTGTGACCCAACAGCCACCCTTATTCATATGCATACTGTCTATGGCTACTTCCACGCTACAGCAGCAACACTGAGTATCCGCAACACAGAGTGTGACCCTCAAAGCCTCAAATCCGGCCCTTTACAGAAGAAGTCTGCCAACCCCTGACATAGACTTTCCCTGCAAACACGCACAGGAATTGGTAACAGTGACTACCTCTGTTGAGTGGGTCTGGGAGGATAGATCTGAGGGCACACTCTCCCCTTTGGTGCCTTGGGATTCTACTGTGATCATATCACTGCGAGGAGATGGGGGGCTGCCAGGGTTGTCTGTGTTGGCATCATTTCACACTTCCTGTCTACTTTCAAAAGAAATGAACCCCATCCAGACGATCCTTCTGGCAAGAGCAGAGAATTGCTGCCTAAGGCCAAGTGACAAAAAGTGGAGGGAGAGGAAGCCATCCACGTGGTTGTAATTGGAGCAAAAAGCATCTCATATTTGTCCTGTCTTACATGAATGCACAGTGAGGAAGTGTGAATACATGATGAATAGCTTTCAACCAACAAAAAAAAAAAAATGACCTACTTTCATAGATTCCGGTTTCAGAAAGATTTTTTAAAAAATGTTGAAATAACACTCTCTTCTTCCATTCACATTCAGTTCTAAAATGCTTGAAGCTTTTCAAACAGCCTCAATGCTCAGTTTTTTAACTGTTTAAAAATATACTTATTTTAAAAATAATTTATCAACTAAGAAAGGCTCAAAAAGGAATCTAGGTCAGTGTATTTGAGACAGGGAGGTTTTTTAAAACCTCATTTAAAATTTGAAAAAGAAAAGAAAAACAGAGAAACCATCCTATCTCCACCCTCAAGAAAAATGCACTAAAACCAAACATCCTACTTTCATTCATTTAATCCTATGGCACTTCATCTTCAGTGACTAATACTTAACATTTAAATCATGCATTTGGAATTTGTAAGGCAATCCTTTGAAGGCCAAGGATTCATGCTCTGATGCAGGTGTGCAAACCCCAATTTATCTGTCCTTTGAATATTTAATTTCTGCATTTAGTCATTTAGTAAAGCTTCCCTTAAAAATTTGCCTGGAGTGTCTGAGACAATTTAATGGCTTCACTGTAAAGCTCTAGTTACATCTCACTAAAATGACAACCCAGCTGCTTCCTGAAGTTTCATAAAAGAACTTTACAAGAGTAGGAACTAGGGAGAAAGAGACTGAGACATACCCTCAATCAGCACATGCTCAAACATCTGGGTACAGGCAAAATGTTCTTCTGCATTATGTTCAGCTAGGGCCCCACCAATGCTAAGGAGGTAAAACCAATGAAGGGTTTACCCTCCATGGCAAGTTCTGAGGATTGCCACTAGCAAATTAGGGAAACGTAATCCTTCCCCTGGCTCCATGGTGGGTTCCAGAAGGCTGGATTTTAGCCTTCTGTCCTTGTCAGCTGAGCTCTCTGCTGCATGAGCAACTGATACAACCATACAGGCGAGCTCCAAGGTCCTCAACATGAGTGGATAGCAATGTTTCCATGTCCAGTCTTTCACCCTGCCCTGGGCTTTGTGCATGCAGTTTCAGTAACAGAAGAGAAGACAGAATTATTTCAAATAGTCTTACAGTCAAACCTGGGACTCATGAAGATGCTAGTGCCATGAATCAGCCCAAAAGAATAAAAGAGTGCTCTAAGAAATGTAATTGTTTCCTTCCACACCTCTCCAAGCAGGTCATGTTGGGACTCACCGTGGTAATTCCAGCCACATGGTCCAGGAGGGGGACCAGTCTCCGGCTGGGGCCATGTTGTGGTTGGAGTCCAGGGCTGCTGCGCTGCCTGGAGCTTCCTGGGGCTCACGTTCTTTGACTTCCAAAGCTTTAAGAACCACCAAGGAGGATGTACTTTTCAATAATGCAACTGCCTCACTCCGGCTGACTTCTGTTAGTTCAATCCCATTCACATTTAATAAGATGTCACCTAATGGCCAGAGAAGCAGAAGCCGTCCTTAGTAAGAGTGCAAACAAGAACTTTGTAAAAGTGCCAAGGAGAAAGGACTGAGCAGGATGCGGGGGAGTGAGTGAGGTGAAGGGGGCTTGTCATTAGCCTCCTGCATTGGCATAAGGCTGAGTTCTCGAATAGCAAACGGTTAGCGTGTGCATGTTTCAAGGCATTGGTAAGTTATGTTTGGAGGTTTCTAAAGCATACCCATTAGTGTTTGGCTCTTGCCTTTAAAAAAAAAAAAAAAAGGAAAGAGGGGCACCTGGGTGGCTCAATCGTTAAGTGTCTGCCTCTGGCTCAGGTCATGATCCCAGAGTCCTGGGATCGAGCCCCATATCGGGCTCCCTGCTCAGCCGGGAGACTGCTTCTCCTTCTTCCGCTCCCCCTGCTTGTGTTCCCTCTCTCACTGTCTCTCTCTGTCAAGTAAATAAAATCTTTAAAAAAAATTAAAAAATTTAAAAAAGGAAAGAAGGAAGATAAATTAGCCTTGTTTACTATTTAATCCAAGAAAACCTACTTCTTCATGTCTTGTTTCTCGTTTTTAGCACAAAGGGAGAGCGTTTAGCAAAAGCTCCGAGTGCCTGCATAGAGCCTGGCATGTGGTAGGCACCCAATAAATATGGATTGCATGAGTGAATAAGAGACTACCCCTGAAAGGGTCTGGCAGAGGAGTCTATAGCAGTTAAGAAAAATGAACTGGAACTACGCTCTTGAAGAGGGAAAAGGGAGTTAACATTGTGGTTCACTGCAAAGGTAATACTCCTACTGTTGGGTAAGCACCTACTATGTACAAGGCCATTTCCACACACCATACTACACAATCCTCTGCTCACGTTCTCTTGCTAACAAGTCACTTCTTGGTGAACCTCATCATTCTCCACCCAGGTGCTTGGGTGAAAAGGAAGAGCAAGACAAACCAAAACACATACCTCTCCTACCTCCAATTTCTAGTCTTTTATCTCTCTCCTGATCTTCTGCCTCCATTGAATATCATCTTTTTCACACAGAATAGCCATAGCAAGAGTAAAAAGATAGGAAGAGACATATGGGAAAGGGTTGGAGTCTTGCCTAACCCCAAAAGATGCACTGTTAGGTTGGCCAAAGAAATCCCTTACCATGCTACCCCCCTGTGGCTCCTCAGGCCAAGCAACTGTACTTCAGAAACTTCACATTGAACTCTTGAATCTAAGCCCTTAAATGACATAGTTGCTCAACCATCTGAGCTACCCACTCATGGAAATTTATTATTAAGGATACATATGTGACATCCCTTTCCTTCATTCAAAGTAGCCCAGCACGCATAAGATTAAAATAATGAAACATTTTTTTTTTAACAGTGGGAAAGAACCTAGCATGGTACTTTCACTTAATATTCATTGACTCAAAATCTATGAAAGTATTTCTCCCATCCAACCCATAAAATGGAACAATTCATGAATAGGTTCATCACAGGATCAATCCAGCAAAGAATCACTTAGAAAGAATGGAACCAAATTATGCTATTCAGTTGAGGCCACTTGCTCATAACTGTAGAAGTTCCCCATTACTTCTTGGCATATTTTGCAGGTACTCACTTTATTAGCAAGCCAAGTGGCCCACATCCACACACACAAACTAAGAGGGGTGAAACCCAGTCCAGCAGGTATACCAAAACCAGTCATGGTCAATGGGTAACAGAGGTCCTAGGCAGCTCAGTGTCTCATCCTCTCATTATTTCTGGAAGCAGTGACCCAACCCAGCAAGCTGCTAACTCATTTTAACACCCCACTGCCCCAGTACCTTAAGTGTCTTTTTACCTGTTTTTATTCTTCCATCTCTGCTTATGACTCCTCCGGGCTCAACACTGATGACGTAGATAGGCAAATCCCATTCCCTATGTGATGCTCCGCCAGCAACGGTCATGCCGAGAGATTCACTGGGGTCTTTTTGGACACTTACCACCTTCTCACGGCAAGTGACCACAGAATGGAGGGGCTAAAGGCACAGACAGAAAAACAAACATAGCACATCTGCTTACAAGAGGGTTTGCATTTCCTACATACAAAAACTACCCAAGTTGGATAAATCTGTGACGGTAGTCTTTGGTCTCACAGAGAAAGACACATGCAGAGAGAACCCTGGCTTTATCCCCCATCCTCAGCAGTTGTATTATTCCAAATTCTATAGGCTGATTCAGAGAAAGTTTGCATTTCGAACGGGAATGGAAGAAATGGAAGAGGAACAGGTTGGAGGCCACTGGAGAAATAGTAAGCATGCAAAGTGAACTGCACCCAAAATTTCTCAAGTGACTCATTTATTCCTCATAGTAGTATCTCATAAAAAGCTTGTCATTCATGAGTAGCAGGATTTTTTTTTCTAAGTTAAAAAAAAGTAACAGTATTTTAATTAAATAGTCTCAGTTTAATTTAAGGAGGGACTCAATTATAGAACTCCTTAAGGAAAAATAATGGATTTCATAGATATTCCACTCTAAAAACTCCCTACTGACTGGGTTCTCTCCAATTAGCATCTTTACTCTTACTTCAGCATTTCTAAGTAATATGCCGTTCTACCCTTTAATTACATAAAAATATAGTGTACACATTGTATAGCATACACTGAGGACCGACTTTCGAAAAGCAAATTAAGAGAACTGTGATTTCAGTTCAGCAACTCTAGACTAAAAACGTTCAAAGCTACATGCAGTGTTATCTTGGAGCAATAAGACAGTCAGTCAAGGGCATGTTTATCAATGAGTACATATCAACATATAATTTTTCTGAAAATGTGTTCTCCTCCCTGCTTGTGCAATGACCTAGGGGTATAAATGAGAATGTGCACTGCAAATAAATATTTATAATATTCGATCAGACCTCAGAGAAGTCTATAGCTTAAAACACAGCTTACAGTTGTATCTAAAGAAAGAAAATTTAAAAATGTATCTGGTAAAAAAAAATCAGGGTACAAAAGAAAGTGTAAGTATATTCCTTCTGTTTAAAAAGGGGGAGGAGAAATTGTATTAATATTTGCATTTCATGAAGACACTCTGGAAACAAGAAAGTGGCTTTATGGGTGTGAAGGTGGGAACCGGACAGATCAGGCATGGGTGGGAGGCTCTTTCATGCATACTTTCCATTTTTTGAACCCTGTGAATGTATTATCTATTCAACAAATCAAGTGAATGATAATTAAATTTCTGTAAAGTTGATGGTTAACATCATATAGAACTATTGCCTGCATGCACAAGAGTCCATTTTTAACACTTCATTATGAAGATAAGCCTAGGTTTTTCGTGCATTTATATCTCACAATTTTCTAAGGTATAAAATTACCCATGCCTGTTTTAGTGGCCTTATTATATCCAGTAGTAGCCTGTTACTATATCCCTAGCACTGAATATAGCATTTAGCACATTAAAGATGGTAACTATGTTTGTCAAATAAATGGATGGTTAAATTACAAGTTGCCACAAATTGTTTTTGGTAGTAACAGAATACTAAATCAGGAATTACAAACTACTATGGCCAGGTGTATGTTACAATTAGTACTCGGAAGGTCTGGGTTGTGTGTCTCTATAAACCCCAGAACCTTGAAGAGACTGGTTATCAGAAGTGAGTTATAAAACTGAAATGGGAACTTCTTCAGGGCAAAGGTTCAACATAAGACAAATAAGTAACTGTATGAACGCAGTGGTCCTAGCGCTCCAGAGGAGTTCTGGAGGTGCTCTCCAGGTCCATTCTCAGTTCCTGACCCTTCTCTCCCACAAAGCAGTTAGATGCTGCATGTCTCTGCCTTAATCACAAACATCTCTCAGAAGAGCCCTGCTTGGAAATGCAGGCAGTTCTGAAATGCCCACAACTCAGGGCAAAGTTCTAAACCTAGAGACTCCTCCTGGCTGCTCTGTTGTTTCAGCTCTTTCCTGCGGATATTCATAAAGCATGTACTCCTGATCCTCAAAAAGAAGTGTTTTCCTCCATTATTTCCACACGGAAGCCAGGGATATTGTAGGGGTAGCGAATCAGTCTCCCAAGGTGATGTCTAAAAACACAGTATGGCATGCTCTGGAAAACAAGGACATCTTTTCACATTAAAAAATGTATGTGTACGTACACACACTCACACACACACACACTCTATTGCATTCTTGAACAGCCGCCTAGTACTTCATCATGTGGATATGTCCTATCCCCCGACTGAGGACCATTTTTGTTGTTTATAAGCTTCTTGCAAAATTAAACAGTGTCACTGTGAACATCCTTAGACACATATCTTGTGCACTTGTATAAATATTTCCTTGGGCTAATGTCCTAAAAGTACAACTGCTGAATCAAAGAGACTGGGCATTTTACATTTTGATACATAGGAAATGGTTCGATCACCTATACTCTCACCAATACATTGTGAACTTGCCGATTTCCCACAATTTTGCATATACTGGGTTTTATCAATATTTACAAGATTTGCCCTATTTACAAGAGGAAAAGAAGATTCCAATAATTTAATTGCCTTTCTAGGTAGTAAGTTTAAACACATTTCATTGTTATTTGGATTTCTCATAGTAATATCTTTGGAGATCTTGTAATACCGTCATCACTCAAAGCTCTCCCAACCTCATTTATGAAGTGGGGTAGAATGCCCATGTAGGGCACACCTGTGACTGAAGAAACACCTTTGATCTGAGAATACTTCATTAAAAAAAAGTGTCACTAAATTCACTGAAAGCGGCAAAATTACATATCTTATGAAATATTCCAGAAATGGCTTCTCACCAGCCACACCAGTTAATAGAAATAAATGAGGCCCTAATTATTTTGTTGTGAATAAATATTCCTTGAATAATGTACAAATTGGCCAGGTATCTTTGAGGAAAGGGAAAGAAATATTATTTCTATTTATTCACACTTAAATGTGTCCAGGCAGAAAAACTGAGACTCAACATTAAAACGAATCTGGAGAGCGGAGTCTTCTTCCACACTTACTCAGTGCTTACCCGACAGCCTTGCTGTGCTGAATAAGGGAAGGTTTCAAGCATCTATGGGCTCCACACAAATGACTGGGCTACCACAAATGGGAATGTGTCCTTTGTCCTGTGTTTTTGTCAGCCATCTGCCTTCCCCACCAGAGAGAGACACCCATGTTAGCAATGGAAAACCCAAGTACCACCATGAACCTTTCCCATGCAGAGTGGCTGGACTCTGGTTGGGGGAGAAAGAGAGTTAAATACGACAGAGATCTTCTTTTCCATCTGGGTTTTCTCCCAACCCCCCTTCTCTACTTTAGAGACCTCAGGATGTTCCCTAATGTTCAAAAATACAATTTAGTATGAACTAATTCAAGCTGATTCAAAAACATCATGAGCACTAGTCTACTTATCACTTAGCTATAAAAATACATACTTTATAAAATACTGGGATTTTTAAAATAAAACATTTTAGATTTATAAAAAAATATATAAAGATGAACAGAATGACCTACCCATGGACCTTACAACCCAGTGTCAGAAATATGGGTGCCACTACAGTTGAAGTCTCTCTGTGATTTCTCTCTGGTCACTTTCCTCTCCCACAGAGGTAGCCACATGCCTACATTTGACACCTATTTGTCTTTAACTTTTCAGTTGGCTACAAACTTTTCTGTCTCACAAGTCTTGGTTTGCCGCCTTTGGTATTTCTCTGACTCATTTAAGCTCCTACTTTCAAAAAGCCATCTTGTTTCCTAGATAAAACAAAGCTTAGTAGGATCATAAAAACCTAAATCATCAAAGAGCCATATATGGCTTAGTTTTATTTTAAATAGGCCACGTACGTGTGTGTGTGTGGGGGGGCATCTCAGAAGACAGACAGAACTATAAGTTAAAATGAAAATATTACAATGTCCCACTAGGGCCAGTTTGTTCTGTATGTTTTACAGGAGTTGGATACATGACATAGATTGCAGCAAAAATTTGAACAGCTCATCCCAGCTGTTTCCATGATTTGTGGTGGTTAGGTGGAAGGGATTATAGACCCACAGTGCTGGTGGAAGACTCATGCTTAGTGGTTTAATGAGCTAAAATACAATATGGTCTAGTTAATCCAGCTATAATTAATTAGATTAATTAGATTAAGCTAATAAACTAGTTTTCCATTAATAAATACCATTAGTTTAATTTAAACACACTAATGGTATTTACTAAAAAAAGACACCAGGGAGTCCTTATCCACAAAAAAATAGCAAGAGTTGCCTGGTCTGTCTAGATTGCTTACTGTAAATAAGCCTGGAATTTATGGATTTATGGGACACGGCTGGCTAGCTGGCTGCAGAAAGAGGTGGGGGTGTGGTCTCATAGGCTGTATCATTAATGGCACATTTCAAAATCAAAATTTTGAGTCTTGTTTCTGCATCCATTACTCAAAAACCCAAACTTGTGAGTAATTCCAAACTGAAACACAGCCTGATATGTTCTGATTGCTATGATAGGCATTCCTTAATCTCTTGCAAGATGAATGGGCTACCTATAGATTTTTTTTTCTTTAGTTACAAGTGACTTAATGAAATCAGATCTTAGGAGAACCAGCTAGAAACTCATTACCATCACAATAGGATGCCAAGCCAAGGCTATGGGACTCTGAATTTGGACTGAGCAAGGTCTGTGTTGCTTTAGATACCCATCCAATGGAGAGATCATGGCATTGCTTCTAATAGAAGACACAGACAGAAGTATAAATTGGGCTAAGTCACCTCATTGAAAGAGAGACTCAAATTGCTGGCCTGAAGGATACATTCAGCCTATAGATGCATTCTGCTTAATCCACATTACTTTACATTATTTCTGAATTTAAATGCTGTAACATAGGGCATCTGCTTTCTGATTTGCCCCATCGCCCACCACTACTCCATAATGTTACATGAACTTCAAGTGTTTATATTATCTTCCTGGGCTCTTCTGCAAAAACAAACCTACTAAAATTAACAGAGGAATTATTTTAATTTATATTAAATATAATATATAATTATAATAATTTAATTTTTCATAAAATAATTTTCAGGCAGACTGGGAACTTCGAAAGTCAAAAACCAAGCAAATCCCATTTCATTTCAAAATGAATGAAAATGGTCCTTAAGCAAAATGACTATTGGAAAAACATGACATATATTTGGCTTTTACTTGAAATTATGTCCCCATGTGAAGTCTATAAGATAAAGTTTCAAAACTCTCTTGCACCTTCTTCGTTCTTGCTTGGATGGGAGACATCTGTTATCTCACCAGGTCCTGAGGATGGGACCTCAGGCTTTTTGTTTTACAAGCCAAGTCAAACAGTGTTCAGGTGATGAAGTCCAGAGGTTACACTTAGAAAGGTTAAAGTGTGCAGCCTTCACAAGAAATAGCTTCCTGCAGGAGGAGCGGACATACTCCAGCTGGGGCTCACCTTGGGAGTGCTGCTCCTGCCCCCTGGCCCTGGGGACCGGCTGCTGTTGCTGTTCCAGCCAGCATCCTGAAAGATGTCAGGAGTCTGCAGCCGAACCTGGCGGGACACGACGAGGTGAACATGCCTTTCACTGGCCTGGGGGAGAAGACACGGACATTAGCCACTCAGAGCTTCCATCCAACACGGCCGGCACCAGGGGCTTACCAACATACGAGTTTTATTCTACTCTAATGGAAACAAATGGCATCTAGTATTTCTCATGGCAGTGCCCATTTTGTAATTTGGCAAGAACATGAGAATTATTTCCTTTATCTTTAAATCAGGGAATGCAACCTGCTTCAAGGGAAAAACTAGGGAAGGTTTGACTTATGCAATAGTTTTTTGTAAAGACATCATCAAACGTTGTTATTTTTAAAGGACAGCTCCATTGCACACAAGCCACAGCTGAAGGACTTCTCAGATAGAACAGAGTATACAGTGTAAAGTCTAAAACCTGGACCTAAGGTAAACAGTATAGAAAAAGGAACAGAGTTGGTGGCAGCAACTCTACTACCATAGGAAGAGAAATCCTGCATCTACAGTGCTAGACACATAGGCATGGGAAAGGATGAACACTTTAGCAATACAGGGATGACTTAAGAGGTTCCAAGACAGCCTGATTAAAGGCCTTTGCCTTGATCATTTATTTTTTATGGGACTATCACTAATTCTGACTTGTCTTCCTCTCTGCCATACACACTGATGCTTGCCCAGAACATTCCAAACAAATACATTGCTTACTGGGGAGGTCCACTCCACACCATAAACTTACAAATTGGCTTTCCGCCACAGATGAATTTCATTTCTGTTTGAGAGCATTACTCATTTTCCCACAACTGCTGACTACTGAGGCTCCAGATCCACAAGGCAGACAGAGGAGACCTTAGCCCTGTGAACTGTACATTAACAAAGCTCCCTGATGGCCCAGAGTTGATTAGAAAGGTCCCCAAGAAAGACTAGGTGGAAAAGAGAGGAGTAAATTTCTGGGGTGGTTCTCTTCACCCCATCCCCTGACCACTCACCACAACAGCAGAGATGGACATTGGCCCACCTGCCTTTCTTCCTTTACAGGTATGGCTATCAGACCATGGAAAAATCAGGTCATGAAGGACGACCTTGTTTTTAAAACCTTAATCAATCAGAGCCCCATCAATGAATTCAGATCCCCACGGTTGTCCAACCAGCCCAAACCTTCATGGTTTTGCATCCTTACGTTAATAAACATTTCTTCTCATAGCTCTCTTGAAACTTAGGGATCATCAACTGAGTAGCTGTAAATCAGAGGAAATTTTAAAAACAACCTCTAAAGTGCATTAAGAATATCTATTGGTGGATATGGTGGGCCAGTCAAGTGGATTCGTCTCTGTAATTCTGTAATTACAAAAATCCTACTGAACAGGGCCCGAAAAGCAAGTTCAAGTCCTTCACTCATGTTCCTTCACATAAAGCACAGTCATCCCTTTTGCTGGTCTACTCAATGCTCATTTACATACCTTCCCTCGGTTCTTTGCCTATCTTGAATTCCTTGGTGTTTCCTATCACCTATAGAGCTTGCATCAGAACAAAAATAACAAGCTCAGGAAACAATGAAGCCGGCAGACATGAAGAACTACAATATGAGCCAGCTAAACTCAATTCTTAGAGGAGTATTTTGTAATAATGTTTCCTTCTTTATACCGTAAGCCTCACTTAGCCTAATGAGGTTATCGTTAGGAACTTTCTGAAGCAAAAATGACTAAGAGATAAGTGGAAAATACTCCAGTCAAAACTCCAACTGCTGAGCCCAGATTTGCTCCTTATCTTCAGGGAAACTCCAATGTTTTGAAGGATCTCAGCAGTGGGTTTGTCTTTGGCCTGCATGTTGTATCACGTTCACTTGGCCCAGGAGCAATCACGTGACCTAGGCACCTCATAAGAATTGAGGAAAATCTGAGACTTATATCAAATCAACTTGCGAGGTAAAATTCAAAATGCCAGGGAGCAGCCTGCGAGAGCCGTTTAATTCACATTTCAAACACAAATTTCTCAGAGATTTTCAAATGCCGACTTTGGTAGTAAGCTGGTGGCAGGAACAACGCTCCGATAAATAACCCTGGTATCAATTTACTTGGAAATAAATTCTCTACAAGGCTGGGTCTGTGGCTCTTAACCAGCTACCTTACAAACTGCTCTCAGGGAGACTCTATCGGATTCACTTTCTTTCCTAGTGTTTGAAGTGGAAACAGGTGGTTTCCAGGCTGCTAAAACACCTATTTTCAGGTGGAAAATAGGCTAATGTGTTTGTACCGGCTCTAGCCCTTAGCAGCAGCCAGATCCAGCATTGAGAAACAGCCCTTAGAACCAGCAAGTCTTTCTTTCTGTGGGTGTGAAGGTGAAGTGTGAGAAGGGGGAGGTGAGGGGAGACAAACTTTGTTATTGCTTAGCCACATTCTATGTGCCAGAAAGATGGGTGCAGCAGATCCGTTGGCTTCAATACCACACTCAGAGGAAGAGCATGCTACAAGACAGGGGTAGGATAGCATCTCTCTTGCATCTCTTGGAAGCCACAATTGTGGCTATCTTGAGTAGCAGACAAGGCTAGAGGACAATCCTTTTCGGGTGAAGTTTCCTCTCTTCTTTCTCCTTTAAACAGCCTCAATTTTCGAGGCAAACTCTGGACACGGTGGTTACAAGCTGCAAAGGCCAACTGTTGTACCTATTTCTCCTTCCTCTTCCAAGAGCCCGAGCGTTAAACCCCCTCTCTCCTTTCTTTCAGTTAAAGGGAAGCACTTCTAATGGCCCTCATGTTCTCCCCTGGGGACCTTAGCTTGTTGGTAGCTGTTCTGTCTCCACGGCTGACATGTGCCTGCTCTGGGCCAGTCACTTCACGAAGAGCCTTGGGGACATGGCTCCTGTCCTCCGTTTGTCCTACTTCAGGGACAGTCAGGAACAGGTGCCATGAAAGAGATATGGGCTACACACACGAGACTCTCTAGGCTGGAACCCATTACTTCTAGCCAAGGAAATAGGAAAAATCTAATATTCAGAGAAAACCAAAGGGTTAAAACTGAGTAGCATTTATCATGATAAGGCTTGTCTTTTTGGGTGATGGTTTAAGGATTATTTTTCTCTGCTCTTTTGAGATTTGACTCAAGACTGCCAATAATATTTATATGACGGGACTAAGCAGAGGCCATAGAAGGGAACCATAGTCTGGCAGCCTCATTTAGGTGTAGCCCATTTAAAAATAATAAAATCCCATCTCTTGTAACTGGAAGGAGGAGTCTGAAAGCTCTATGCTGACGTCTTGCAAGGCAAGCATCCTGTACGCTCATGTTCAGCCCGGGGAATGGCTCTTTTCCCTACAGAAGCCACTGTGGCCGATAAGAAGTGTTCATCATGTCAGGATACCACACAGATCAGAAACTTCACAGAGCAGAGAAATGGACAATCAAAGACGCCACCACACAAAGCAGGAGAGGCATTTTGCAGAGCTGTACGTCGGAGCAGAGGGCGTCTTTCTACCGTTCTGCCCTGTGTGGGGCCACGCAATGGCGAAGGCAGCCAGTGAGAACTAGGGCAGACCGAGACTTGATAGTGCACGTGTAGTTCAAGGTGTGACCTCCTCACCTAGCCCAGGGCTTCACCTATTCACTGTGAAGGAGGATTGACTCCAACCACAGGCATTACAGCATTTGCTGCCTTAAAAAATATATATGCTTAAATAAAACAGTTCTTAGCATTCTAAAAACCTGAAACAGGGAAATTCCAAGCTGCTAGGCATCCAGACTATTGCTCAGAGCAGGGAGACCATAAACACACAACCCTTATAACACCAGTGTGGGTCCACAGGCGACCCATGCTTGACTGGGGAACTCTTGTTACAGAGACAAGTGAAAGCTACAGTTGCATTTATAACAACATAAGCTTGTCTTTCCTTAGTGTTCCACCAACAAAGGTTTTAATGAGCATTTCTTAAAAAATAATTCATCCTGCATCTGCGTTCCCTACTCATTTCTTTTCCCAGGATCCCAGAGGGAGACAGTCTAGCTTTGATTTTTAATGTATGGTAGTAGGGATGGGTTTTTTTTTTTTTTCCTATACTCTCTGGGGTTGCCCCATCTTAGCGTCCCTTCCACCAATTACTCAAGGATCCTTGTCAGTTCATCTATTTTGTGTTCACAATGCCCTGGGAAATTGTGGGGCACTGGTTCCATATCATTAAATAGTCACATATATGGAAGAGATGTCAGATAGCTAAGCCAACATTCTCTCTGTAACCCAGGCTTCAGTTCCCCCACAAAATCTTTGCCATGTTGTCACCCAGCTCATGCTTCAGTGCCTCCAATGACCGTGAACTCACTGTGTCCCAGGGCAGTGTGGGCCATTCTTAGATAGCACTAATTAGAAAGTTTGTCCTTGGGCTGAACTAAATCTGCCATTTTCTTGCTTGTCCATTGACTCCAGTCATATCCTCTCAGATGGCCCCAGATCAATTTCCGTGGGACGATCTTACTTGAAGATAAGGCTCCCTCTTCTTTCTTAGCTCTTCTCCTTTCCCGGTCAAATATTTCTACTTTCTTTAATATTTCATATGTTTTCAAATCATCTCAAAAGCATGACGAACTCTGGACTCCCTCTAATAAATTTGAGCGGGGTGTGTGTGTATAGAATCAGACCTGGAAGAACCAATATAGAGTAGTTTCTTCGCTGATGGACCAGCTGTACCCAGGACCTCAGTGATGGGGTTCCTGTTTTGCCACGTCATACATCCATAGGGGATTAGCTCTGTGAAGCCAAGAGCTCCACTGATGTTGGTCTTCATTATTAGTAATTAATTAGAAGATGACAAGGAGGTTCCCAGGGCCTCACTAAGGGACATCTCATATCAGTACAGCCTAGCTTTGAGATCACATAAGGCACATAGATCCTACATGACAATACAGACCACAGGAGGCATCAGAACCATCACCAGTTGGTAGGCTAGAAAAATACCAAAGTCACCAGTCATTTGTTGACCTGGCAGCATACCACACAACGAGGTGCAGAAACAAAGTCCTTGCCCTACCCCTCTCTTCCAGTAAACAAGAGAAATTCTGAGAAAAATACCTCTCACT